GAAAAGGGGGATTTATTTGTGCACCTGATGCTTCTTGTGCAACATGGAAACAGAAGTGTATAACATTTATTTATAAATTGCAGAATAACGGCAAAATTTTAGGACATGTTTTTGAACATTTTTGGCATTGAATGGATAATTCACAAGTCCATACTTTAAAAAGCTGGAAAAGGATATAAAAGTTATCTGGGAAATTGCACCAGTGTTTTGAGGGCAAAAGCAGATCACTTCATCAACTAAAATATCATTGTATTCATTTTTTATTATTGGTGTAAGTTAAATGATGGAAATAATGCTACAAATCCCATAGAGTCTATTAGCTCTTTACATCTATGTATAGATTAATCCACAGTAAGCTCTTCTATTGTAAAATATGGCAACCTCTTGGTGTTTTTATTCTCCTTCTTTTAGCTTAAGCTTGTTACATAACTTGTTAGTCGGCATGGGAACTGTAGTCTGATACCGCCACATCATCTGTTTCTGCTGTTCGAATTGTGAGGTATCTGTTTTCTAATTTGGACATCCTTGGCCGTTTGGTTTTTCTATAACCGTTTTATCTGTTGTTATTTATGGTATTAGCAAATTACTGACATAATTGATGCAACAGTGGACTTTGTGGTTGATGATCACGTCAGTGGTGATGAGGAAGAGGGCACAGTTGTGGAACTCAGAACAGTAGATGAAAATTTGATTGGAGGAAGTTCCAGTGAGGAGGCACTTCATCAGGTGCATGATGTCAAGGTGGATGAAGACCTTCCTGAAAGGGAAGACCTTTTATTAGAAGAAGCACAATCTCTAAATAATTCAACTTCAGATGAACCTTTCGTTGGCCTGGAGTTTGAATCTGAAGCTGCAGCACATGCATTTTATAATGCATATGCAACAAGGGTGGGTTTTATCATCCGGGTTAGCAAGCTTTCGCGATCTAGGCGCGATGGCTCCGCCATTGGTCGAGCGCTTGTTTGCAACAAGGAGGGTTTTAGAATGCCTGATAAGCGGGAAAAGATTGTACGACAGCGAGCAGAGACTAGGGTTGGTTGCAGAGCAATGATATTAGTTAGAAAAATAAACTCTGGAAAATGGGTTGTCACAAAATTTGTCAAGGAGCACTCTCATCCATTGTGCCCAGGCAAAGGTCGTAGGGACTTGATCTATGATCAATATCCGGTTAGTTTTCTGCCTTATCTCTATTAAGGTCTTGCAACATAAAGTATCCTACTTTCTTTTTGTACATAGAAGTCGTTTAATTTTCTAGACTATATCATCCTATTGTTGCCTTTGATTAAACATCTTTTGTTTGTACCGTTTGATGGAACCTGAATTTTTAAGGAGGCAACAACATGTATGTTATATGTACTAGTTTCTGGATACTGGCTTTGCATGTGTACCTCATTTAATGAGTAAATGATTTTTAAAACTCACATAAATCTTATTAATCAATGTGTTTTAGTTATCAAATAAAATTTAAAGAGAGAAGTGGAAGTTTATGAAAATGATGAATATTAAACTCATTTAGCTAGCTCAATAAAGGAAGAAATCTTGCGCCACGAAGGTCCTCAAATGCCTTATTGCAAAATAGAGACACATATGGGAACAAAGGTTTCTTCTAAGCTGAAATCTTAGTTGATCTCAAACCCTAATTATTAGAGAAAATCATAATTTTTACAAATTTGCCAATTATAGAATTATTTATTTGATGAAATGAATTAATTCTCAAGGGTATAGAAGGCAAAAAGGAGAACATGTTTAGGACTACCAAATGCCGAATACAAATATTATGAAAAATGTGGTTAATAATGCTATTGTTGAGTTACTTATCTGGCGTTAAAAGACAAATAACAAGGCATGTTGGCAAATGATTTTCAATGATTTGCCGCTTAAGAAATTTTAATTCTATAACTTAAATTTAAAAGCCAAATGATGATATGAAACAGAGGGAAGATGGCTGGCTCTCACTAAAATCACATTAGCATTCAAAGTTTCAAACTACAGTTACTCTGAGAAACTACAAAGGGTCCTTTATTAGTAAACACAATTTTAGTTGAATGCAAAGTCATAAAACACCTAGGGTGTGGCCTAGTGGTCAATGAAGTTAGAGGAGAACTATTTTTGCAATATGTACTAATCATTATATTTCGCACCCCCAGTTATTTTATATATTACTATTTTTTATTAGTTCAAATATTTTGTATAATACTAGTGAGTAGTGACTGAAGATTATTTTATAAGCTGTTTTCTTTTTATTTTCTTTCATTTTTAGTGCTAGTGTTGAATGATTTCATGGATATATCAAGTGGATGTCAACATAATATGTGCTTTTACAGTCCACACCTTCTCACTGTTTTCCTCACAAAGGCAACACCAGCTAAACATTATCCTTCTCCTTTTCAAACTTTATACTGTTAGTATGCTGTGGGAAAATGTTATAAAGGTTAGTTCCATTTTGGTACGAGGAACTTATGGTTATGAGAACAAAATGTTGTGGTAAACAAAAAGGAACAACGGAATTCATATCTTACCTCTATAAGTGCAACCTCTATTTTTGCTGGGGGAAAAGGCGTCATAGCTTTTGCCACACTGCAAATATTTGCCCATTTTGCTTTCTTTCAAGCACCATTATCCTGCTGTTCTCTCAGAGCTACCATTTATGGTGGATTGCTAATTGAATTTTAAGAGAAATTTGACAAGAGAAAAATCATTACAAAGGAAAAGGGAGAAATTCAGCAAGATATCCTTCTATGTTGTTTGGACTCATTATTCCTTGATTGCAAATACTAATAAATGGTAGTCCATCTTTCCATTTTGGGAGTAGTTCTGTAAAAGTGACGCCTTGTTACTTGTGCAAATTTATTCTGTTAACACTCTGTTATGTGGATAAAAGATGACATAAACTGTTTTCATTTGTGTCTGTGGACAGGTTATATATTCGCGAGTCACCTTATCCTTCAATTTCCGTCATCCTTCATATTTTACATGAACCTAGAAATGTAATCCTTTTTGGCTTTTTTGGTGTGCGAGAAGAAGTGTTTATAGAAGTCATGATCGTTGTGTTTTTGGTTGTAATATGCACTTAAAATACTGATCAAGTGGAAGTATCAAATTCAAATTTGAAAACATTATCTCTAATACTACAAATACTTGGAGATGGTAAATCTGTCATAAAGTACATATTATTGTCATCGTGAAGACATTTAAACTAGAAACTAGATCATATAAACTGGAGTGGGGGAAATTAGTCAATTTATCAATTGCCACTTGTAGCAGTAGTTTTAAAATTACTGATTTTCTCTGTCGATGCATGTAAAACTGAGATCTTATGCCTAACATTCATCTTCAAAGAACTAACTTTACCCGATTTCAGCTAACTCTTGTTTTGGTTTCTCAACTTCTTCCTGCAGAACGAGCATGACAAAATCCGGGAGCTATCTCAACAACTGGCAGCTGAGAAAAAGCGATCTGCAACATATAAGAGGCATTTGGAAATGATATTCGAGCACATTGAGGAGCACAATCAATCTTTGTCCAAGAAGATCCAAGATATTGTACACAATGTAAGGGAGTTGGAGTCCAGAGATCAACATCATCATAGATAGTTTTAGCTTAATTTGCCTTTGTTGATATTAGTGTAGAACCTAAGTTCAGTAAAGATCATAATGATTATTGTCTTGGCTTGCCTTTTTCTCTCCCTGTTATCCTTTTCATTTTCTTTGGGAAGAGTATGAAAAATTTAAGATCAGATCATATCTTATTTTCACTTTTTTCTTTTCCTTTTCCTTTTTGGGTAGAATTGTGGAAATGTAGGAAAAATTGGCACAGAATGTCTACTTCTGGTGCTTCCATTGTAACATTCTTTTGGAAGGTTGGAGTCATCTTTTTCCATTTTTGTAAAATCTCAAGTCCATTTCATTAGGTCTTTCCAGTTCTTTTAGATAATAGTACACTGTATTTCAGCTTTCTTTGGATGCTTCAAGGATTACTTTGAGACATATTCCAAAGGGTCTGCGTACACTCTACCCTCCCGGACTCCATTTGTGGAGTGGAATTATATCGAGTATGTCATTGTTGGCTATTCTTTTATGCCCAACTTTCTTAAGACTATCTTGGAGTGCTTATGGCATAGTTACATTTGTCAGTCCTATAAGTGGTATCTGCTGGCTTGATTATTCCGAACAAAGAATTTCTTCATGCAGAGCTTGAACTCAAGATAATGTGAAGGAATCTCATTCATCTCGCCATATCGAGAACTAGAGGAGTTGGTAATTTTGTCAAATTTTAACTAAAAAATACATCCAAAAAAATTCTAGTCTTCTCATCTTGTACACATTTTGGATCTCTTAGTGATAGTAAATTTGGGTGTTGCGCTTCCGTCTAAACAATTATATAGTCCACTCAACCAGTAGTGGTTTCAATGCATTAGCTGTAGTTGCTAATTCAGAAATAACTATAATACATATGGTATGTATATAATGGTAGAACGTAATAAAATATTACGATTGTCTAAAATAAGGGGATGGAGGTATGGTAAACTCGGCCATACGCATGTTAAAAATTACTAATGATTTAAAAATCAAACAGCAGTACTAGTAGTTTTCATGATTGTTTAGTTAAAAAAAACCTCAATCACTAACATAATTCTAAAATTGATTAGTCTGTAGCCAAACTTTTAGAATCATTTTTTTTCAAGTCCTTTTAAGAAAAATGAAATGCGTTTAGGTGAGAATCAATTTGTGTTTGACTAATTAATTTAAAAGTACTTTTGAGCAACAATTAATATTTGACCGATTTTTTTTTATAGTTCCTTCCGAGTATATTTTCTCATTGTACTTTTGAGAAAAGAAAAACTTTTTAAAATTTTGGAAAATAATTTTTGCTTACTCCCAAACATGCTAAACCATTTTGCCCATTTTACCTTCTATTTTAGGGCCAAAGTTATACTAGTATTTGATAGTACTATCTATCTATTTTCTTAAACAAGGGTTGGGGAAGGGGAGAATATTTGATTCTTTCTTCAGAAACAGAGTAAAATGTTTTCCCCAAAACACTCATTTTTGCTCAAGGGATGACTAGTAAGTCCTCTTTCTTTCATTTTTGTTTTTGGGTCTTGGTAAAGATCACTGCTTTTTGTTTACATGAATGCAATTATGTATAAAACTAGCTAAATAACAGAATAAAATTGTTTCTTTTGGCATTGCAATTTCTTTAGCAAGATTAAAGCTTTCTGTTCCTGCAATCTCCATTTATTTTCAGTTTTTCCACCATTGATTTAAGAATTTTAGTTGGGTATTGAGTTCTTGAGGATTATTTATTTTCCCATGAAAACTTTTCTGGAATTTGTGTTCTTCCTAATTGCTGCTAAACTTAAGGCGAGTAAGGGAGTTTTCTTGATAGGGAAAAAGTAGGTATATGATGCGTGATTTTGATATAATTTGGTCCATTTTATAATCTGAATTAGTTGTACAAATTTGCTTTCTTGTGTGCATATTGGTGACACCCCTTTTCTATTCTGTCTAAATTTGTTTGTCTGGTTTTGAATTGATACGAAGTTCTAAAAAGTAGATAAAGGCTTTTAAATCTTGGGGTCATAAACTAAAGATATGTAAAATGTGCCAAAATGCCCCTTAATCTCGTGGTCTTAAACATGTCATGTGGAAAGTTAGAAGAGTTGCCAAAAAAGGAAAGAGACTCATTTTTTGTAATGGACTAAAATGGGAAATAAGACAAACTAATTGAAACGGGGGAGTACAATTTTTATGTTTGAATGTATAGTGAAGAAGCAAGTATTTGCATCATACTGTCACGCATTATCCTGTTTTGATTGATGCGACCAGCTCCAAATACCTTTGAAAGCTGTTTTTAGACCAATTTCCCACCTTTTGTGATGTTGTAGGCTTGTTTGTGAAAGTTCAAAATTTAAAAATTGTTTCTTTTTGTGGGATTACACTGGGTATGTTGTTGTTGTTGTTTCTTTTTGTTCTACTGTCAATCTTTGTGAGAAAGTCTGCCAACTGAAAGTTCACTTATTTGTTTGTTTATCTCAGTGGATGTGCAAGTTTTAGAGGATAATGGTACTAGAAGTGTAGAATCGTCTGCCGAAGGACAAGTTAGTACATCTGAAGCTGATAGAACACAAGAACCAAATGAAGGTATGATATTTGAATCTGAAGAAGCTGCCAGAGCATACTACGATGAGTATGCTGGAATGACAGGATTTATAACCCGTGTTCTGTCATCTCGCAAGTCAGAGCGTGATGGGTCAATTATATCACGTGGACTTGGTTGTAGAGGGATACCAGATAATCAAAGGCCAGTAAGTTTAGCCAATCAAAAGCAAGATAGGCGACGTGATGGTTGTACAGCAATGATCCTAGTCAAAAGAGAGAAGCCTGGTACGTGGGTGGTCAGAAAATTTGTTAGGGACCACAATCATCCTTTAGTTATGTCACCTTCCAAGAGACGTCCAACTTTCGTAAGCTTTCTTAGTCTTACCTTTGTATTAACATGTAATAAAAGTTTTTATTTCAGTTTCCCTAACTTTAACCCCTCTCATTTATCTTCTTTAGGCTCCTTATTTGCTAATTTTCGGCAGCTACACAACTAGATATCCACTTTGGATGTGTGTGTTTGCATGCATGAGGCATTGCAGAAATTGTTTACTTGTCTGCACAGCCTCTTTTATGACTGCCTGATTTGTTTGTAGTACTTTAGTCAATATACCCAGAGGTCCCAACTCTCTTGCTAATTGTTTCAAATAAGTAATCCCCGGTAAAACCTAACTATTCAAGAATGCTTGATTTGGTATGCTCAATAGACTGCCGATGGTTATCCACAGTAGTATTACAGTATTAAACTTTCCATTTTTACCCAGAGAGTTATTTGGCTTGGGTTGTCAAAATTGTATGTAGGATGTGCCACCTCTGGTACTACTCATTGTTGCTTAAGCAGTGGTCATTTTGCTTGGAATCCAGTTTAACGCAGAAAGAGATATATTAAATGCATTAATAAGTGGTCTCATCTAGACTCTGCAATATAACACGAGAAAGATTCACTCTTAAACTTTTAATTAGTACATGAGATTGTGGTGCATCTTGATTGTTAGTGATAGTGGATAAAAGTGAGTAACTGTGACAGTAGAATCTAATTGTACAGGCTGCCTTATGCTTCCATCACTTTTTGTTTATCTCTAATTATTGTCCTGCAATTTTTATGAACTTTTCACCCTGCCCATCCTTTTTGTTAGGAAAAGAGAACATTAAGTGCATGAGAACATATGATTATAGGAAAAGAAAAATTAAAGTTAGGGAAAAAGGAAAATCTGCTTTTAGATTATTAAGTGCATTTGTAGTATCGATTCTGCTAGTTTGCAGGGTTTAGTTTTAGAGAGGAAGTTGGTGGTTGTTTCTGTGCATAGTATATGACTATGTACATTATTACGCCGACGTAGTTTGACAAGACATTAGTTGGATAATTGGATTAGTACAAAGCATAGATTGACTAATAGGAACTTAGGGAACTTATGTAAAGATTGTTCTAAACTTTAAGCAGTCAGGCTACTTGGAGCCAACTTTTGCAATAACCAATTGCTGATGATTTCCCATTTTATACTTGTGCAATAACCAATTGCTGATGATTTCCCATTTTATACTTGGAGCCAACTGAGGTTTGTTTATGGGACTGTCATAAATTGATACCTTTTGTGTAATTCTTGTAGGATGAGAAAGATAAAAGAATTCAGGAATTAACAGCAGAACTTCGGATCAAGAAACGACTAACTGCAGCATACCGAGAACAGCTCCTTAGTCTCATGAAAGACGTGGAAAGCCATAGTGAACATCTGTCTACAAAAGTTCAAGCTGTTCAGAGTATTCTTAAAGAACTTGAAGCTAAAAGACAGGAGCTTTCAAATCATAGTAGACGCCATAACTAGGGTAAGCATTTTTTGTTTTTAATTGATATTTCTCTTTTAAGTTTTTAGCATATGTGCTGATTTTCAATGCAACTCCACCTTTATGAGTTTTGCAAAGCATGCCTATTGCAAAGATTTAGTTGTGTGGGTTCGATGAATCTTGAAAATTTTGTCCATTTTGCCAGCACCTACTGGTGATGCCACTGGGTTTCAATTGCCCTAGACATTTGCTGCCTATTAGGATAAACCGTATCATTTCCATGGGTGTGTATAATGGTGCTCTGTAGGAAAGTATAGAAACATTAATTAGTTTCTGATGCATTGTGAGGAATAAGTGGAATAGCAGATTATCAACATGAAACGCAATGCTATTCTTTATTTGTTTGTTTGTTTTGGTTGAATCTTTTGTTTTCAGCTTCACCCTCGAAATATTTGTTGCCGTTAGCAGACTTGCAAATAATGCTTTCGGTATCTTACATGTGTAAAGCCCTAGACATGTTTACCTTTTTTCAAAAACTTTCACAACTACCTGAATCTTGATTTGACTTGCTCATCGTCTTGCAAATATAGAAACTCTAGAGTTTATACCCCTGTCGAAAGTGATTATGATGGACTGATTAGAGCCAAAGATGTCTAACTGAAGGTCATGAGTTGCAAGCTGATACAAGCTTGTGCTTTTGGCTGGGCAGCGGCTACATTAAGTTTAATGAAGCGGATGGGTGCAGCCACCAATCAATATAAGAGAGAGGAAGATCTTGTCGAAGAAATTTTCTGAGTAAATATGATGTGGGAATCTCTAGATTGAACCCCTGGTACATTGATATCTGTATTTAGGAGCCTGTTCAGAAGTTGTACTAACCATATGCATTTGCTAGGATCATTAGGATGGTTGATTCTTGTTTCTTGATTTCTTAAAGTTAGCATTTGGAATGGAATTGAGGTTTCCAAATTTTAGTTCCTCAACTATTATTTAATGAGAAATGTTGGGCTACTCGTTGAAGATAAAAGTACTTCGAACCCATATGAAGTTTTACCATGAGCGGCTTGTATCCATTGAACAAATATAGGTTCAGTCAAGATTTGCTTCTTCAGATAGGGATGGAGCTACAGTGTATCAAAGGAATATGGTCAAGTAAACACCTTTCATCGGAAAATTATACCACGATATATATGTAAAATGATACTTTATGTGTTAAATGATATGTTGTGGACACCCTTGCAACAACTAAGTGATGCAGCCCATTGTTACCTTTTTCAAACATTTGTAAAAGAGCTCCTAAATTAGCAATTTTGTGGTATAATAACTAATAAATTTGTAATTTAGGAAATAATTCAAAATTAGTGGTGCTTATTAAAAATTAGAAACCTACAAGTCTACAACTAATTAGATTCCCAATAGATTTGTCTTCGACTTTCCTTTTCTTTTCATTAAATTTTTTAAATAAAACTTAAAAGAAATGGTATAATTTAAAGTTAATAAGCAAATCCTAAAAACTCTCTATAACTCAGCTCAAATGTGAAAAGTCTCCACAAGGTTTTTTTTTTTAAAAAAAACCTCGTGTGATTCTGCTCTTCATTTTTCGTGTCTTGTTGTTGTAGTTACCATATATAGGTCGTCGAAAGCTTGATGAACCGTAAAAGTAATTTCATTTTGGGTTGAGTTTTCTCCTCTCTCTTTTTTTTTCTTCTTCTGGCTTTATTCATTCACTTCATTAGATTAAACATGAACTCATTAATTAAAGCAAGATAGCACAGTTTTATTTTAAATTTTTTGATATATTTATTCATAATAAAAATCAATTATTAATACTACGTAGTTTGATTTTAAAAGTTCTGGTGCACCCCTTCATCAATTTTTTTCTAACTTATATAAATTTTTTGACTCCATCACTAATTTCCTAGCCTTAATTATTCAAAACTCAAAGAGTGTAAGTAAGTTCATTTAAAAATAAAAATAAGAAGTTTGACCTTTGAAACAGTAGAAAGTGTCTAGGTACATAGAGTAGATTTATATACACATGAACACCTTTGTTTCAGTTCCTTCCTTCATGGAGAGGTAAAACATTATTTAAAAAAATTCTTAGACATGGTTTTCTTGTTACTTTCCCTACTAAACATATAATAACAAAAACATATTCAATGTAATTTCTGATTGATAAAGTATATGCCAGATAATTTTACCTTACCTCATCAAGATAGAAAGATTGTTTTTTCATACAATTATGTTTAATATATTTAAGAGTTTAAGTTTTACGTTATTTTTTGGAATCCTAGGATAACCTGCAGCCGCTAGGGTGAGCACTCTGTGGTGAGCACTTTGTGTGCATTGGGTAAACCCCCACTATGTAATAGCCTGCAAACCACACATGGGATGTAAACCGCACTAGGCAAGCTCTATGCGACAAGCTCAACTCATAAGGCATTGAGGGGGAATCGATCCCGGATCATCCATTTGAATAACCAACCTCCAAACCAGTTGAGCCATTCCCAAGGACAAGTTTTACGATGTTAAAGTTATAAATTTTAAGTTTTGCATAAACTCTATATATTTAATATATAAGGATACGAATTTAGGAGTGTGACCATAAACCAAAAAAGGTTATTCCATTATATGAAAAATGATATATGATGTAAAGTTTGTGCAACTTAAAATTAAATATCCAAATTTTAAGTTAACTGTGTAAATAAATATGTCCTAATTAATTGGGAGAAAATATAGACTATAACTAGAACATGGCCAAAACAATTTTTTGGATGCTGCTTTAAATTTTGAAATAAGGAAACTTGCCCATGTTCATCAATTGTTCGAATTCAATGAACTTTTTTTTAATTTAACTTTACTCCAAATATTTGATCTCTACTTAATAATATGTAACTCCTACATTTAGCATGTCAACGTACATAGCTAAGGTACTCAATGAAATAGTTAAGGTACGAGCAAATTGACTTATTATGATCTAGAGATTACTTGGAGTCAAAAATCAAAATGCTGCTGAAATTACACTCAATATGAGTTAAGTTCCAAGAACATGCATGCATTTTGCTTTAGTTTCTTTTCAAATCCTTGATTACTAAGATGTTCTAATTTTTTTTTAATATTCAAAAAGGTCCTAAAAGTCAAATATTTGTAATCAAATAAATACTGTTCTTGCTTCATACAATAGCCAAGAAACAAAGGCTTTTCCTTTACTTTTGGTACCCATTCAATTTTCAATGTTCAATAAATAAAATTAAAATGTTAACTTCACTCCTCAATCATATACGTAAACGAGTAATATTCCTTTTGCCACTTTATAAACATTTCAAGCAAATTAAACCTCAAGTCAACGCTAATTGAATGGTGATTTCTAATTAACGACGTCATTAACGCCTAAATAACTATGTTTTTACTTGAAATTAACTACTTAAACATGCATACTCTAATATATTTAATATTTTCTTCACAATAATCAACTTCAACTCCGCCATTTAACAAGCAAATATATGAAATTATTAATTAATTAATTCATTTAATTTCTTTCATAATTAAGTCAATCTATTTAATTTTTTGCTTCTTCTTCATATTCCTCCCTTTCTTTCTAAAGTCAACTCTTCCATTTTCCCATCCTATATATATATATATATATATATATAAAATAAAGTATAAAACCCCTCTATATATATATGTCTACCATATTCTTATATCATTCACAAAACCAAAAAACGTCTCCTCCCTCCTCCTCCTAGTCAATAACGAAAACCAATATCGATTTCACGGACCATTTAATATTATCAATATACCATTAATATTATCAATCAGTTTCACATTCGAAAATGATGAAGTTGATCAAACTCATAGTTATTCTAGCCATTACAATGGCCCTCACCATTTCTCTACTCACCATGCAGCACAAATCGAACAACTCTGAAAATTCAGGATTTCAGGAGGATGAGAAACTTTCAGACGTGGAAGTACCACAAGTGATAACAAAGAGGGTGAAGATAAGTCGATTTCTTGCTCAACAAGAAATCAAGAACCCTAGGGCCGCGGATCACTGCCATAAAGACAACGAAATATGCCACATGTTGGAAGGTGGTCGAAATTCGACATGTTGTAACAACAAATGCATGGATTTAGGTTACGATGATCACAATTGTGGTGCTTGCAAGAAAAAATGTCCTTTCACAGAGACTTGTTGTAGAGGTGAATGTGTGAATTTGTCTTATGACAAGAGACATTGTGGCTATTGCAATAATAGGTGCATGACAGGAGGATATTGTTTCTATGGCATTTGTGATTATGCCTAAATGTATCGATGAAGAAATTAGTTGCGCAGAGTCTAAGCGACATAGATGAAGAAAAGCTCAATTTATACATATAAAGATATACATTTTTACCAATAAAAAAATTAACCACACATTTAACTATGTGGTTTAATTAACTCCTAAGAAATACGGGATTTATACGTATATACATGTTGTAACAATTTTATACAGATTATTTATTAAGAGTGTATATTGATAAGTATTTTTGTAAACAATTTCTTGTAATAGATAGGGATATGCTCATAAACTTGATGCGATTGGTTCAACTTTATTAAACCATTAATTGCTTCTTCTTCCTCCTTTTCACTTTGTTGCGTCTTTCTATCAAAATACTTAAATTTTCCTGTTAACTATTTCTCCTCCTTTTCCTTCTTCTTAATTTAGTCCAATAAATAATCACAAAAAATTAGTTCAATAAATATACAGGGTATATACTTCATGTATAGTTAAGCAATATTCAGCTTTTTGAGTGTATCATAATGTATAGTTAGTGTATAGCTCATTTATAGATAAGTTACATTCAACTTTTTGAGTGTATCACAATGTATAGTCGGTGTATATTTTCTATAACTCTTGACTATTTTTTATGTACATAAAACATGGTTTTTAATCTAATAATTACTTTTATTATATATATTTAAGATTATCCCAAAGTTGAGGGTGCTAATTAGTGTATTTTTATTTTATTTTTAAAACACCATTTACAATGATATTTGAGTGCTTAATTAGAAGATTTGATCCTGAAGTAGAAAAGCGACGCTAACCAAATAATCAATATTAAAATATTGGGAAAATCGTATGAAATAACAAACTATTAATTCAAATTAAATGTTATAGTCATAGTTTATTTTATTTGTAATTCGCAGCAAACATCCCATTTTTTTGCCATCTGGTTCGGTATACAATTAGCCATTTTCAGTAGACAATACCCATTCGGTATACAAATGTATAAAATGCGTTTGTATTTGTATAAAGTGAGAGAAAAGTGTATATACAAATACATATATTTTCGTTCTATACACTTATGATTATACAAATACATATCTTATTATACAAATTACAATTTATAAATGAATTTATACAAAATTGAACAATTTGTATAAACCTGAATGTATCTAGCGAATTATACAAATCAAAAGCTCCATAGCAAACATAAATTTGCTATGGAGCGCAATTATGCAAACTATAGTTATAACATATAAATACAATTTTTATATTTGCTATATGTGACATTTGCTCTTATAATAATGCATTTTGCTTTGTACATATTTTAGGCACACTTTAAGATGTTGTAAATGTCTAGCACATGGTTCTACAACTAAGAACTAAAAAATTTAGGTTCTAAACTAAGGGT